AGCTTCTTGGATGAGAAGCAAAATGTCTTCAAAGAGAAACAAGAAAGTCCAGTTGCCTCTTGAAAAAGCACCTTTGGGACTACAGAATTAATAAGCTCAAAAGTGTTGTGCCCTCATAATGCACAACCTCTCTTTCTGTATGTGAGTGCAACAGCACCATAGCAGGGGTGGGCAAATGTGGCAGCTTGGCTGTCTCAGGAATTCTGGGAGTTGAAGTCCACAGGTTGTAAAAGGGCCACATTTGCCCACCCCTGCCATATAGGATCATGAATTAAGTAAACTATGCCAAGGCATAGAAAGTATGGCTGCCCCCTTCCCGGCACTTAACCAAGGCATCAAAGAAGATTGCTCACCATGGACCCATCAGTCTCCATCATCACTACCCCAACATGCTTCCCTTATTTCCATCCTCAAGAAGGAAGTCTGGTCTAATATAATTTTATAAAATAAAATAAAAATAAATAAATAAATATTTATACATTTTACCACCCAAAGATTCTAGTTTCAAATATATGTCCCTTTGGAGGTCTCTACTCTACTTCAACTCTGGAACTCAAAGCTGCAACATCATAATTATGAGTCAGTTGCTAAACTCTCTGAATTCTGATCACATGACCATGGGGATGCCACAACAGTCATAAGTGTGAAAAATGGTTATAAGTCACTTTTATATAAGTTACAAGTGCCATTGTAACTATGAATGGTCACTAAATGAACTGTTTTAAGTTGAGGACTAAATGCATCATAGATAAATAGACAGATAGAGAGATTAGACAGGATCTCTCTAGGAGCCTGAGTGGCGTAGGAGGCTAATGCCTCCTACTAAGGCAGCATTTAACATCCAGCTGCCTGCAATTACTGCGAGTTCAATTCTCACCAGGCTCAAGGTCAACTCAGCCTTCCATCCTTTCTAAGGTAGGTAAATTGAGGACCCAGTTTGTGGGGGCAATAAGCTGACTTTGTAAAAATATACAAAAGTATGAAGGCTATTGCTTAGCGCACTGTAAGCTGCCCTGAGTCTCCGGAAAAGGGTGGCATATAAATCAAAAATTTTTTAAAAAAAAGGATAGATGACGAACAGACAGACAGACGGAAATGAGAGAGAGAAAGATGAGTGTTTGTGTATGAGAGAGAGAGAATGAGAGAGGGAGGGAAGGAGAGAAAGAGAGAGAGAGGGACAGACAGACAGAGACAGAGAGGCAGAGATTTGAAAGTAAAAAAATGAGCCACCAAAAGTTTGCTTCTACAATCACTTTCTACATTCCCAGAATATTCCTGTTTGCTTAGGAAGAGATTAATAGCCTCTGGTTACTTCTGGGAATGACATGCAGAATATTAATTAGAGTAATTCTCTATGATATGCTTATTGGAAATGTATAACATCAGAGAAAGGAAAATAAATATTCATGCATTATTCATAATGCTTTCAGTATGCCTGTGAGTAATGAGTTATGGTAAGATACTATATATAGTACTTTAAAGACACTTTAAGTCACCAGCATGGAAATGAGCCGAGGCAGTTCCAGATATCCATCGTGAAATATCACATTCTATGGGTTTCAGGGCTGTTGTCATATGTTTCACTGTCTCATTGTGGTTTTCTGAACTCCATCAAGGACACTGGTGATTTATCAGTGCTTCCCAGTGTACTAGGAATGGAGAAGTCATAGAGTTGGAAGGTTGGAAGGGACCTTGGAGGTCTTCCAGTCCAACCCCCTGCCCAAAGCAGGAATCCTTGTATCGTCTTGGACAAATAGTTGTCCAATTTTTTCTTGAAAATCTCCAATGATGGAACATCCACAAAGCTGCTCCACCGCTTGACCAGATCTGATTTTTTGACAATTTTTGCAGCAGTTGTTAAACAAACACTATGGTTGTTACATGAACACGGTGGTCATTAATGTGATCACTGTTAAATGAATCAAGTTTCCTCAATGGGCATTTTTTTTTTTTTTGCCAGAAACTGGAAGTAAATTGTACAAACCAACCCCCCCCCACAAATCACACATTACAGTCATGTGACCACAGGTCTGTAAAGGTGAGCCAGTTGCCAAAATGTGATCATGTGATCATGGGTGTGTGTGTGGCCATTGTAACTTTGAAATGGGTCAGCAGTAGCTCTTGGGGGAGGGGTCCAGAGGTGGGATTCATCCGGTTTGGATTGGTTCAGGCAAATCGGATGTTAATTTTTAACTGGTTCGCTGAACTGGTTGTTTCAAGGACTGACTGACCCCGCCTACCCCACCCCTCCCAGGGGTCTCCACGTGGCCTGTTTTGGATGCCAGGTAAGCGCGAGGCACGTGCGGAGGCTCTGGGAGAGCAAAAAATGGGCCTACCGGAAGTCCAGAAACTGGCCTGTTTCCAATCTCCAGAGGGCCTCTGGTGCCCAGGGGAGGCTTTTTTCGCCTTCCTGGAGGCTTGAGGAAAGCCTCTGGAGCCTGGGAAGGGTGAAAAACGGGCCTACTGGAAGTACTGAAAGTCCGGAAACAGGCCCATTTCCCGCCTCCGTAGGGCCTCCGGTGCCTGGGGAGGCCGTTTTCGCCTCCCTGGAGGCTCAAGGAAAGCGTCCGGAGCCTGGGGAGGGTGAAAACGCCCCCCCACCCCCCACCGGGGTGCAGGAGGCCAAGTAGGCCATGGCCCCATGGCCACTCCCACCCAGCAACTGGGCAGCGAAACAGTTGCTGAAATTTTTCAATCCCACCCCTAGCGGGGTCTATGTAACTTCAAAGGGTCACTAAGCATATTCTTTCAGTTTCCTTCCAGCAATGATCAGTTTCTTGTGACTTCTCTACATCATTTGAATCTTCCTTCTGGTTGTTTGAAAGGCAATATCATTGCCATTACAGATAGTTTCAAAAAATATCCCTAACTCTTAAGTCCCAAAATTAGTTTTGTCCTTTAAATCATCCCTGTTTTCTTATCACAGTTTGTTAGGCTGCTGCTGAATCTAAAAGTATGCGGTAATGGCAGAGAAACTTGGTGTAAGTTTTGTATCTCCAATTGATAAAACAGTTGATGAAACTGTTTAGCAGTACACAAAAACAATCTTTACAATCTTTATGAACATTTCTGGCTCTTTATCAAAATTAATCAAGAAGCCTGCTTTAATACCCCAATTTTTTTTTAAAAAAAAATCTGTTTTTCATTACAATTGTCTTTCATCCAACTAATTGAAATGAATCTTAACAGCTGTATAGATGTGGAATGTTGTTCGCTCTGTAAATTCACCCAAAAAATAACGTATAATAAGTATAAGACTTCAGAAACTAAGATTAAATTGAACGTTGAATGCATTTTTCCACATCCCCATCATGGTACGTGTTCAGAACTTCAATGCATCAGGAAAACATTGCCACAATTTAAGGTTAGCCACAATTTAGGTATAAATTGATCAAATGCTAAATATGTAAAGAACCCATAATCTGATTATCAGAAAGATATTCACTTATTTTCAATGAATTCCAAAAGTGTTTTGGTGGGTTTAAATTCAGACTGTTTTGTACATTCGTCCCATTACAGCTTATAAACAAGGGTTTGGGTCTGTGCTGGGCCTCAAATGATACATAGGATCTTGATTTTTGCATGCTACTAAGCTTTCATGCTTGCATTATAACTTGAGTCAAATAATAAAACTAATTCTTTTGGTTCTCTTTTTCATTGTCTTCCAAGGAGACCTGCCAATTAAGTTACTTATCATTTCAATTAGCAGAGACATGGATCTATATGATAAATATGCACTATCTTTGTGATGTGTGTATCATTACCCCCTTCCAGAAGATTTAACTCTCAGCGTCCATCCCATTAACATTTTATCAGCTGGCTGATAATATCAACTATTATATAGTTGATAGGAAAAGCTGGCTGAGATTTTGCCTGCTTTTAAGAGCTGGGATATGAAATGGATCAGGGGCAGTGGTGGGATTCAACCGGTTCGCACCACTTTGGGAGAACCGGTTGTTAACTTCCTGAGCAGTTTGACAAACTGGTTGTTGGAAGAAATCATTAGGGCAGAGAACCGGTTGTTAAATTACTTGAATCCCACTACTGATCAGGGGTAAATGTACTTACCTTCCTTACTGGTTTGGAAGTGTGTGTGCCCTGCACACGCAGACCTTCTGCACATGTTTTGCGCATGCGCAGAAGGTAAGTAGTTTTAACCAGGAAGTAATGACACCCGGGTGGGTGAGCGGAGCTTTGCTCCACCATCGCTACCGGATTGCCGCACGGGGGATTATGGGAGCGACGGGGCGCTCACATATAACACCTCTCCTGCGCAAGCTGCACTGGCTTCCTGTGGTCTTCTGGGTGCGCTTCAAGGTGTTGGTGACCACCTTTAAAGCGCTCCATGGCTTAGGGCTGGGGTATTTGCGAGACCGCCTTCTGCCGCCGATAGCCTCCCACCGACTGGTTCGCTCACACAAAGAGGGCCTCCTCAGGGTGCCGTCGGCCAGGCAGTGCCGGCTGGCAACCCCCAGGGGGAGAGCCTTCTCTGTGGCAGCACCTGCCCTCTGGAATGACCTGCCCCCTGAGATATGCACAATATCAGACCTCCGGACTTTTCGTCGGGCCCTGAAGACACACTTGTTCCATCTAGCTGGGCTGGCTTGATCCCACCCTCTTAGTTTTTAATCGAATTTTGGTTTTAATTGGGTTGTTTTAAATTCGGCCCAAAATTATTTAATTGTTTTTTAAAATGTTTTTAAATTTTATATGCTATGTTTTATCCTGGCTGTACACCGCCCTGAGTCCCGCAGGAGAAGGGCGGTATAGAAATATAATAAAATAAAATAAATAAATTAATTAATTAATTGCCGAACCAACGGCCAAGATCACTACCGGACCGGGCAATCAGGTCCGATTCCGGGAGCATTTCACCCCTGAAATGGATGCTTTGTGTACTGTAACCTTTCATTTTGCAGTCTGCACACCATCACAAGACTGATGCCCAACTCACAAAGCAGACCTGGGAGAAATTATATGCTTTTTTTTCCCCCACTCACCCTTTGGCCGGTGTTGCTATGCCAACGTCTGTTAGTTTCATTCCTACACCTGGAAAACCAAACAGCAAGTCAGCGTTACCACAAAGTAGATCAGGTACAGAAACATTTAATACATCAATGTCATTTTTAGTGGTTTTGCTACCGAACCACAGATGCTATCCATCGCTTTTTATATATGATGTATCAGTTGTCACAAATATTTAATTTTTCCAGGGCAAGCAATTTATTTTGCTCTCAGTTTAGCACTTTGCTGGAGGGGAAAAAAAGCATGGAAAATGCATTACTTGGGGGTGGGGAGGATGATAAAACAGGAGCCATAAGTTATAGTTTTGCAGACTGATGTACACTTACCTTGTTCTATACATCCTGTCCTGGATTTTATGGAGGTGTTTTATGATTTGTGATGTCTGGATGCACTGAATAGTTTCCTTGCAATCTTATTTATAACTTTGGGAGCGAATCCATGTCTGTTTGAAGACTACTGTCATATTTCATTTACTCAATATCTCTTATTTAAGGTCCTACTGCCTGGAGCTGCTATTGAGCCCAGCTTTCATGCAGTGTTGGCGCTTCTCCTAAAGCTTTGGCATCCGACCATAGCTGCTTCTGGGTGCTAAGCAGGAGCTTGACTAACCTATTACTTTTGCCCAAAATGTATGATAGCTATCTCCACCGCCATTATCTTCATTTTCATGCATATATTGGTTTTCCAATATGTGCTCAAAGTAGCTTAAGACAAGAAAATAATGATAGTGGTTAATCTCAAAAGCACAGCCATGTCACAGTGCCACCGCTATGTCATAAAGTCTCCAAACTAGAATACCAGAAGAAATGACAGAAAGTGTGAGAACACTGCAGACAAGAGAAGCAAGCTTTAAGGTGTTGGTTCTCATCTTTAAAGCGCTCCATGGCTTAGGGCCAGGGTACCTACGAGACCGCCTGCTGCTACCGATAACCTCCCACCGGCCAATACACTCTCACAGAGAGGGCCTCCTCAGGGTGCCATCGGTCAAGCAATGTCGGCTGGCGGCTCCCAGGGGGAGAGTCTTCTCTGTGGGGGCACCCGCCCTGTGGAATGAGCTACCTCCTGGAATACGACTGATCCAGAACCTCCGGACCTTCCGTAAAGCCCTGAAGACTTATTTATTCCAGCAAGCCGGCCTAGCCTAAATGGCTTTTAATGGGATTTTTAAAATTTATAGACTTGGGGTTTTAAATTGGGTGGCCGATTGATTTAATCTCTTTTAATTATCTTAACTTTTGTATTGTATGTATTTTAATTTTGGCTGTTTACCGCCCTGAGTTCTTTTGGGAGAAGGGCGGTATACAAAATAATAAATAAATAAATAAATAAATAAATAAATAAATAAATAAATAAATAAGAAATAGTTGTTTCACAATAGCTAAGGAGGGAATTAGCAAAGGACCATCTTGAATTTAATGTGTTATATTCAGTCATGTCCACTGCCACTCTAGGAATTTATCCCAAACTCATTTGCAGAACTTACTTCCATGTAAGCATGTGTAACAGTGCAGCGTGGTTGATTGCACACTATTGGAAGTGTAGGATCCCATTTCTAACAAACAAACAAACAATCAGCACATTTAAACTTGTTAGGTTTAAAGACATTTCACTACCAGGCTAGGTAAGATCATCAGTAGATGGAAGAGAGGAATTTACTGGTTGTTTATGAAACCTGGCGGTTTCATTTGGGATGTATGTTTTTTTTTTCTTGATGATTTTATGATCACAACATTGATTCTTCTCCAATTCTTTATTTGATTCTTTCGGTGTTGGTTGCTAGAGAGGATATAGATCTCTAGAGAGATTTATTTGCGAGAAATATCTGCAAAAAAACAACTGTCTGGCACAAGGAAGCCAAAAACAACATGATGAATTACTCAAAGTACTTCCTTTATTGCTGTTTGCCTATAGACAGGAATCTTGCCAGACTGCATAATTGTCCAAAAGATGCTGTGAAGAATTAGGAAGGATATTTTCTGGGTCTTTTCCTGCATAACAATGACTCAACATTGATTTGTCTCTTCACTCCTTCATCCTGCAACTCAGCCACGACAAAATAACCCAGCTCAGAGAAGACCAAGAACTCAATATTCAACCCTGAGCTGCACATCTTCTCCGCCATTGAAAACATTTAAACCTCTTGATAGACTTCCCCGCTCATGATAAATGATGCTAGAGTAAACAGAAGACTAATTCCTACATCTACTAAACCAGGAACATCCAAAGTACAGGGAATGGTGGATGCTGTTTCTCTCCCACTTCAATATATTGGCTACACATAACATGGAAAAAGATGAAGCTAATGGAGTCCCTATGGGTTTTACTCTGTTAGTTGTAGCCAACTTTAAGGGATGGTGCTCATTTCTGTTTCTTTAAGCCATTGAGCCAGTACTGTCTGAAGATGTTTCAACAGTCATATGGCCAGCATGACTTCATGCCGCTGTTGTGGCTCCGTTACCTGAGCCTGTGTCATCGGCAGGAGAGGACTCCGAGAGTGAAGGAGAGGAGTTGGCAAGGCCTCCCTCTCCAGGACCCTCCTCTCTGGCAATGCCTTCGGTGTCCGCCGAAGGGCAAGAAATAGGGCCGGGGCCAAGCACGTCCACGCAGCCACAGGTGGACAATGATGAGGGTAATGAGTCTTGGCTGGATCCATGCCAGTGTCGCAGAGATAAGCGCGCACAACAGAAGAAAAGGCGTGCCCGAGATTAGGCTGAGTCACTGGACCACACCCCACAAGGTATAAAAGGGAGCGTGGTGGCCAGTCAAGCCTTGTGATGAACAAAGCTGAAAGCTTCCACCCCATTCTGCATTGCCAGACTTTTGCTATAGACTTTGCTGGATTATCTCTGGACTTGATTGACTGTAATTATTGAGCTGTTTCCTTTGATATACCAGAAGCGGGGAGAAGTTATCTCTCCTCTTCGTAAGTAATAAACTCTTGGCAGACAGCCACTAGGTTGTTGCCAAGTTCTGTTATCATAAGGAAAAGGATTTTGCCGGCTGGTTTGGTCTTTAACTCTTGAACGTCTGTTGGTGTGTGTGCGTGTGGGACGGGGACAGAACAGCCGCAGTGCAAAATGTACACCAAAACATGGAACACTGTTACCTTCCCATCAAAGTGGTACTCTTTATCTACTTGCATTTACATGTTTTCCAACTGCTAGGTGAGCAGAAACTGGGGCAAGTGACAGGTACTCACTCTGTCACACGGTGCTAGGATTCAAAGTACCAGAGTATAGACCTGTGAGCTACAGAGCCTCTCACACATAACATGGAATTGACATTTAAAATTTATAGACGCCAACATTCTGTAACCAGCGACCTTCCATCTCCTCTTGGATTACAGAACATTGGTTGTTTTATACACTAATCACTAGCAGATGAAAAATTAGTTGCAATTTATCTCCAATCCATCTTAATTAGAAATGGCCAGAGGGAGGGTGTGATTCAGTCATAGATTGGTTCCATTTCCTGTTAAAATATGAGCAAAACTCATATGTCCATAACCGTATTCCCTGATTATTTTAAGGAGTTAACAGAGGAATAACAAGTGAGCTGAAATACACGCTGCATATCTAATAGAGGGACACATTATATTACAGTATTTGATCCGGTTTTAATCTATGTGTAGCAGGGGCATAATTTAGGAATTGCTGCATTTGTTATATTGGCTCAATGTAGTATCAGTACGAGACTGAATATCTGATACAGCACGCATCTAATTGATTCCTTTCCGTTGCCAATAAAGTAGGCAACGCATTCTGAATCTTGTTACAAACTTGAGTGGGTCCAAGTAAAGAAAATACACAACTATCTTGAGGAAGGGTGTCCATTTCTATGTAGGTGGTTTTCTATTTGCAGATCTCAAAGACTGGATAGGCAAATAAAAAGGTAACTTGATGGTAGCCATCAGATTTTCAGATTCTGTTGGCTATTTCAATCAGGCCACATGATGGCATCCAAGCGAAATCAGCCAAGGAGTCTTGTTGCACTAATAGATCAGAACAGTACAAATGAACTTCATGACTATGAAGAAAGTTTTTTGGCCGAATTCAACTACAATAGCATCTATTTCTATGTTTTGACAAATCTATGTTTTGAGAAAACTCCATCTCTTGCAACCTGGTAAGGTTGGGGTGTTTTCACAGCTTATGTTACTATGGGCTGATCTTGTCCCACTAGAGACCACCAATCATTTCTGAAGGGCAAAGAGAATGTGGGATGACATCTTCCACTGGTACTTAGAAGGGAGTATCACTGCGTCAAGAAGGAAGGCCCTACCTGTCTTTTCCTGCTATATCAAAACTAATGTTTTCTGGTTTGTTGGCTCAGTGGGTGTTATCCAGTTTGGCCCTGTGATACCGTTCATTGTAACCAAGACCTCCACTTCAGTTGGCTACTGTGCTTTAGAGAAGGGGTCCCCAACCCCCGGGCCACAGCTCACTACCGGGCCATGGCCTGTTTGGAACTGGGCCACATGAGTGACGGGCAAGCACATGCGTGCACGAAGCTTCACTTGCATGAACGGAGGGCGAGCATGAGTTGTACATGTGTACATGCACCTGCCACTCTCTCTCTCTCTCACACACAGACACACATACACACACACCCTTGGGCAACCAAGTTAGAAAGGTTGGGGACCACTCAGCGGTGAAATGCAAAAATTGTTACTACTGGTTCTGTGGGCGTGGCTTGGTGGGGGGGTAATATGACTGAGTGGGCGTGGCCAACTTTTTTTTTTTTCATTTTTAAAACCATTTTTTCTACAACCTCTTCGGCTGAAGAGGTTTTAAAAAAATGCTTTTAAAAGCCTCTGACGATCCCACCTGACTTGCCTGATCGGCAGAGGCTTTCTTTTTTAAGCCTCTGACGATCCCAGCTGACTTGCCTGAACTGCAGAGGCTTTCTTTTTTTTAAAAAAACATTTTTTTCTATAACCTCTTCGGCCAAAGAGGTTGTAGAAAAAATGCTTTAAAAAGCCTCTGATGATCCCAGCTGAGCCACACGATCATCAGAGGCTTTTTTTTTTTTTCTTTTAAAAGCATTTTTTCGGCCAAGGAGGTTGTAGAAAAAATGCTTTTAAAAATAATGAAAAAAAAGGCTCTGATGATTGCGTGGCTCAGCTGGGCAATGGGGGGGGGCAGGGTTTTTTGCTACCAGTTCTCCAAACCACTCGCCTCCATTGCTACCGGATCAGGCGATCCGGTCCAAACCGGGAGCATTTCATCCCTGGGACTGCTGCTTCAAAGGAATTCCCTGTCCTTGTCCTCTATGGCTCTTTTTTTCACATGTTCTTCAGTAGAACAACTGAAAACTATTTTTAAAGGGTTCTCTGATGAAATAGGTAAATTGAAAAGCTTTCTGCCACTTTCCCTTTATGGGGAGGAAAAAAAATGGTAGCCTATGCTGTTGTCTATGTTTCCTGACAAGGAGAGCAAGGAATTCACCAATCAGGACTATGATAAATGTGGTCCAACAAACAACTTGACATTCAGAAAAGGATTTCCAGGTGATTTATACATAGGAGACGAGCAGCTTAATGGCACATGAAGAAGTCAAATGTCTCATTAGGTGAGAGAACTTAGTTGACCTTGTCTGAGCTGGGAAGCTAAGCAGGCCAATTCTGAATACTACTTGGATGGGATTCCCATGTTTGTAAGCTGAGGATGTATTACAAATAAACTCTCTCCATACAATTCTCAAGAAAAGGTCAAGAAAGTCCCTACGGTCATTGGGAATGAAATTCAATGCAAAAGAGTGTTCTTCCATGTTATTACATTGATGATAGCACCTATGTTGCTCACAAGAGCTATTATTTACTTTATTCATTAAACATGAAACTCAGTCAACTGAGCATTCAAAAATGCATCACAAATACCATTGACTGGTGCTAATGGTTGATACGAGTTGCTGCCAGCGTCCTAGGTATCAACCAAGTACCTTCTTAAGATGTACGATGTTCTGAATAGTGCAGTTTTTTGCAGTTCCGCTGGTGTTATTGCAGGAAGCTGCAATTTGCTGATGTATCTTATAAAATTCTTGGACATGGTACCAAGTGCCCCGATGACAATGGGTATCACTGTTACATGTTACATCCATAGCCATGTAGTTTCAATGGCCAGGTCACGATATTTCATGATTTTTTCCAGTTCTTTTTCTTCAACTCCTGGTACCGCGATGTCAATAAATTGTATGTTTTGGTTTTCAACAACTGTGATATCTGGCATGTTGTGTTCCAAATGACAATCCGTTTGTATTTGAAAGTCCCACAAGATCTTCACCTTCTCATTTTCTATAACTTTTTCCACTTTATGTTTCCAAGACTTTTTGGATACAGGTAAGTCGTATTTTTTACATAATGACCAGTGGATTAATTTAGCAGCTTGGTCATGTCTAGCTTTGTAATCAGTTTGTGCGATTTTGCTGCATTCACATATTAAATGTGAAACAGTTTCAACTTTGCTGTTGCAAAGTCGGCAGTTTGGATTGTCGGTGGATTTTTGTATCTTTGCTTTCATGGCATTAGTTTGTAGTGCTTGTTCTTGAGCAGCCAGTATTAAACCTTCTGTTTCTTTCCCATCTTAAGCCATGCCCATGTAAAGTTGTCATCACATTTTCCTTCAATGTTTTTCAAGTGCTGTCCATGGTTTTCCATCTATTTAATCTGTCATCCAGCTGTTTTTATTATTATTATTATTATTATTATTATTATTATTATCATTATTATCATTATTATCATTATTATCATTATTATTATTTTATTCATTAAACATAAAACTCAGTCAATTGAACATTTAAGGACGTATCACAAATATTACTGACTGGCACTGATGGTTGATAGGGGTTGCTGCCAGCATCCTAGGTATCAACTAAGTATCTTCTTAAAATTGTTGTTGTTGTTATTGTTGTTTTGTTGTTGTTGTTACTATTACTGTTATTACTATTAAATATTTTGCTTTTATATTGTGATATATATATATATATCACAATATAATGTGATATATTATATATCACAATATATATATATAAGTTCAGCTTCAAAATGTAAAATAAATACATTATTATTTTTTGTAAAGAAGACTTCAGACATTCCCAAAAAACCTGACTCTGTCTTAGATTTGTGAACGGAATTCTCAACAAGCCTGACAATCATGGGGCATGTTTATATTAAAACCTGAATCCAAAAAATGGAGATTAAGAGAAATGGCATTTTTAAAAGATGCATTGAGGAAGTTCATAATCATGCGAAACCACTGAAGGACTAAGGAAAATAGCAGGAACCAGAGGCATTCATGGAGGGTCAGTTTGACAGCCTTGAGCACTGTGTGTATATGACACAGGTGAGCCTTCAATCATATAATTGTGGCTGTCATGTTGACTGTTTTTACCTCTACACCCAATTGATGAATGGCCCTGGTGGGAACTGAATGCCAACTGTCCAGGTTCTATTACAGCAGTCTTTCTCCAACTTGGCAATTTTAGGACATGTGGACTTCAACTCCCAGATCTATAATCATTGGTTGAGAATCTGGGTACAGCAAGACACACATTATTTCTCTGTGGGCCTGTTTGTGGATATACCAGCCATAATACTACATTTACCACTAACCACTATATAATAGCAAGATTCTCACCTTGCATATCTGTTACAAGCAAGCTGCCACTGGTTTTTTCATACACCCAGTGCTGAAACGTGCAACATTTCTGGCCAGCTTCCGAGTCTTTTCTCATGAAATTGATTTCCTTCCCGTCCTTAACGGAGTATTTCACGAATTCTCCAATGAGTTCCTCTTCCACTGTTGCATAAGGGATGTTATTCTTGGGCCGATGAATAAGGAAAATAGGAATGATTCTGAAAGCAGAGCCAGTAAAAAAAGAAACATACACAATGAAAACTTACGGTCTCAGGAAAAATTTTAGAAAACATATTTCGAGGACCTATTAAGTTAAAACGTGGGGTATATTCAGTGCTTTTTTTAAAAAAAAAATTATTATTATTTTTTTTAATTTGATTTATATGCCGCCCTTCTCTGGAGACTCAGGGCGGCTTACAATATGCTAAGCAATAGCCTTCATCCTTTTGTATATTTATACAAAGTCAGCTTATTGCCCCCACAACTGGGTCCTCAATTTACCTACCTTAGAAAGGATGGAAGGCTGAGTCAACCTTGAGCCTTGGCAAGATTTGAACCTGCAGTAATTGCAGGCAGCTGGTCTTAATAACAGGGTGCTTTAGACCACTGTACTACCAAGGCTCTTTAATGAGAGAAAACATCCTTCCCTAACTTCATGTGCCCCATTCAGCATGGCCAGTAGTTAAGGAACAATGAGAAGGACAGTACAAAACAACTGTATAGTGAATACCCCTTTATACTGAATGGTATGCTGGGATTTGTTAAGCGGGAAAGGAAACATTGAGTAAAAGAGGGCATACAAGGAGGAGGAGGAGGAGGAAGAGGAGGAAAAGGAAGAGGAGGACGGGAAGAGGGAGGAGGAGGGAAGGGGAAGGGAAGGGGATTAGAACTATCTGACACTGAATAATGTACATTTTCACCACACTATATATCAATGGTTTCTTCTGGATGGTGTGAGATGTTGAGCATTAGGATCTTGGCAAGCTGTGCCTTATACATGAAAGGTATTAATTTATTTATGAGAAAAGTGGAAAAGGATTACAGCACAGGTAGGCCTCAAGGAGCCAACATTGTAAAAAATGCTTTATCAGTAACAAATTTTGCTAGCCTTTGTATGTTGTGTGTTTATATAACAAATACTTCACATCAGGGGTGGGATTTAAAAAGTTTAGCAACTGGTTCTCTGCCCGGTTGCTGGGTGGGCATGGCCATGGTGGGCATGGCCCACTTGATCTCCTGCACCACGGTGGGGGAGGGCATTTTCACCCTCCCCAGGCTCCGGAGGCTTTCCTCGAGCCTCTGGGAGGGCAAAAATGGCCTCCCCTGGGCTCCGAAGGCCCTCCGGAGGCGGGAGATGGGTCTGTTTCCAGACTTCCGGTAGGCTCATTTTTCACCATCCCAGAGCGTCCGCGCGGGCCCTGCACTTACCTGGCATCCAAAACGGGCTGCGTGGAGACTCCTGGGAGGGGAGGGGAGGGGGAGGAGCCAGCCAGTCCTTGCAACTACTGATTCAGTGAACCAGATGTAAAATTAGCATCTGGTTCACCCGAACTGGTCTGAACCGGTTGAATCCCACCCCTGCTTCACATGTATAAGTGAAATTACAATGATGTGTACACACTGTAAGACTCCTAGGGCAATTCCATCATTAGTCCCAGTTCAAGCACAATGTGTTTTCATGAGCTGCTTACATTTTTCTTTAAATTTTTCCAATATACAGTATTGATTCTGTTCCTAACTCCACATTTTCAGTTTGTTTGAACTATTTTTTTTTTAAACTGTAGCTTTACAGCCCAAAGAGACTTAATCAATTGAAGTAGTCTCGTTTATCAAAGATTTTTTTTAAAAGTATGTTTTGGATTTTAAAATAAAACAGCCTAGTTTGCAAAAATTGAACTAACATACAAATCAAAACACAATTATCCTTTAGCTCTCCATCATCTTATAGGTTTCTGTGTGTGTGATGATAAATTGAAAGAAAGAGTATACATTTTTTTTTCAAAAAATAGATATCCCAAAAGACCTATATTAAAACAAATTACTTTTAAAATATACACATTAGAAGAAAATATGTATGTGTATCTGAGTTTTCAACCATCTTAAAAACTTAGAGAAATGCACTTGGCTTTCTTTTCTTTTTTTTTAATCAAATGGCCAAGAAATAAACTTGTGTGTTAAAAACTGTGGATGCTAATGAAAATGAATGAGGAAGCTTAACCATTCCCAAGGTTTCTCCTTTTTTTAAAGTAGTGTTTTATGGAACAAGAGCAGTCAAAGTGAAAGGCATGGGCATAATTGTAGAGCAATAACAGAGTGAATGGCAGGTCTGCAGTCGTCCCTGAATCACAGAGGGATCTGGAAAACCAGGGTCTCTACCCACCATCCAATCAGAGCTGAAGAAGCTCCTTGGACAAGAAGCAAAACATCTTCAAAGAAAAACCAGAAAGTCCAGTTCTCTCTTGAAGGAAAGAGGAGGGTGGGGGAAAAAAAGAAAGGTTTTCCCCCTCCTGTCAGACCTGGAACCCATCTTTTACATTGGGCCTTCAGACCTGCCACATTTTCTACTGTGGGAAAATGGGAGGAGGGATTAAATGGAGTATGGGAGTTATATAGTCAAAATAACATTCCTTTCTCAGAGAGTCAAGGACATCTTGCCCTAGCACCTAGAGTTGGGTGACTGGGAAGCATCTCCTGATTGGGCCATGTGATGGACATGTGGGTGCTGGGCAGGGACTTGAACTTTCCTTTGGGTGGGGAAAACCTGGAAACTTTCAGATTCGGGTTTTCCCAGATGTGCCAATATGATATCTCTAGTAAAATAGAACTTTGAGGAATCTCAAGCCTTTTGTAAATAAAAATGGCAACAGTTTACAAAGATTACTAGGTGCAAACAGAAATACACATTATTTCCACAGCAAGGAAGATAAAGCAGGAATGGTTAAATTGATTACTTTATTTAAAGAGGAAAATATGTTCTTATTTGGATATCACTTCTGGAATTCATGCTTGTGAAGAAAAAAAATGAAATTTTGATTCCCCCTTTTCCCTACCTTAATTTCCTATTTTCTTTTCTTCTTTGTACTTTATATAATAAAAATAAAAATGACAAAGTTAAAAAAAGGACCTTCGGGACAACTATGACCTGGATAACTGAGAATCTTCATAGACACCGGGATCTCTAGACTGGTTTCCTTGCCAAATGTTCTAAAAATTCTATTTCTTGATTTAAGTTGCAGGGCTCAAAAATTAGGAAGTTTAGGAAGTGAAAGGCCCTCTGCATTTTCTGAATTCACCAAACGTGAATATACCACCAAAAAAAACCAAAAAAAAAACCAATTTGTCCAATCAAGGCTGTTGATAGAGGGAGGAATAAATTGTGCATGTATAAATCTTCCCAACTTTTACCAATAAATTCTCCATAATAACTGCTTAGGAATAAAAACGAGATCTTTGCCGAGAGAAGCTGACACGTGTTAGTTTCAGCGTCTTTCCTTATCAAACAGCAGAGCTTCTCCTAAATGACATCCTTCATGCAATGATTCTATTTATTTTTCCAGGAAGTTGTAAAAGTCTACTCACTCAGGTACTTCTCCAAAGCCTTCGAGAGGTTGTGTTTCGGCAGCATAGATCTTGGCGTATTCTCTTGCGGTGTTCTGAACATAACATTCCTAGGTGGAAGAAAATCCATTGAAAAAAATGACTTTATTTTTATTTTATTTTATTTTTTAAATTTGTATGCCAGCCATCTTTCTATCAAGCGACTCTGAATGGCTTACTATACCATAAATAACAGAATAAAGCAATGATAGGATTAAAACATTAAGACATCAAATGTTTAAAGCTAAAACATTAGAATTATTATTAACAGAAAACAAATTAACAGAGTTGGAAGGCACCTTGTAGGTCATGGAGGAGACCCTACACCATTTCTGACAGGTGGCAATCCAGTCTCTTCTTGAAAGCCTCCAGTGATGAAGCTCCCACAACTTCCGAAGGCAAGCTGTTCCATTGGTTGATTGCTCTCACTGTCAGAAAATTTCTCCTTATTTCCAGATTGAATCTCTCCTTGTTTAGTTTCCATTCATTATTCCTTGTCTGGTCTTCAGGTGCCTTGGAAAATAGCTTGACCCCTTCCTCTCTGTGGCAGCCCCTCAAATATTGGAACTCTGCTATCATGTCTCCCCTGGTCCTTCTCTTCACTAGACTAGCCATGCCCAGTTCCTGTAATCGTTCATTGTATGTTTTAGCTTCCAGTCCCCTAATCATCTTGGTCTCCACTCTTTCTAGAGTTTCAATATCTAATAGATAAAAAGCCAATGTGCAGACAAGGTGGAGGTGAGATCTTTAATAGCCACCTCCAAAATCTTAAAGGAAGTCAACCTTGACTGCTCTTTGGAAGGGTAGATACTGAAGCTGAAGCTCCAGCACTTTGGCCATCTAACGAGAAGACTCATTGGAAAAGACCCAGATGTTGAGGAAGATGGAAGGCAAAAAGAGAAGGAGACGGCAGAGGATGAGATAGTTAGATATCCTAAAGGTGCTTTTTTTTTCAAGAGGCCACTGGACTTTCTGGTTTGTCTTTGAAGGCATTTCGCTTCTCATCCAAGAAGCTTCTTCAGCTCTGACTGGAAGAAGTCTGAGCTGAAGAAGCTTCTTGGATGAGAAGCGAAACATCTTCAGAGACAAACCAGAAAGTCCAGTTGCCTCTTGAAGAAAAAGATTGTCCTTTGGGACAACCATGACCTGGATGGCTGAGAATCTCCATAGACAGATGGTTAGATAGTATCATCAAGGCAGTGGGTTTGAAGGCAATGGAGAGTGGGGAGGGGGGGCTGTTCCATGGTCCATGGGGTTGTGAAGAGTCAGACATGACTTAGTGACTGAACAACAACACCTCCAAAATCAGAGGCTTCCATTGGACCCCCAGGTAAGAGCAAAGAGTTAATTAGGTTCATGTATATTTGAACATCAGCTTGTTTTTTGGAGTGCTGCTATCCACAGAGAGGGTCAAAACAGGCAAGATGGAGGCCACACCATAAGTGAATCCCCACCTCTTTGTTCATATATGAGGGAAATATGTACAAAGGGGCGCAGCTTCTATCACAATGTTGTGACCACCAATTACTACCAACCTGCCTTCCATTGAGGATCTGTATACTGCACGAGTCAAAAAGAGGGCTGTGAAAATATTTACAGACCCCTCACATCCTGGACATAAACTTTTCAACTCCTACCCTCAAAACGACGCTATAGAGCACTGCACACCAGAACAACTGCACACCAGAACAACTAGACACAAGGACAGTTTTTTCCCAAACACCGTCACTCTGCTAAACAAATAATTCCCTCAGCATTGTCAAACTATTCACTAAGTCTGCATTATTATTAATCTTCTCATCGTTCCTATCACCCATCTCCTTCCACTTATGACTGTATGATTATAACATTGTTGCTGGTATCCTTATGATTTATATTGTCTGTTTCCTAATATGATTTTATAGCTTATTAGTAACCTTGACTATCACTAAGTGTTGTATCTTTTTATTCTTGATGAACGTATTTTATTCTCCTTATGTACAGTGATATACATGCACCAAAGTATATGCACCAAAGACAAATTCCTTATGTGTCCAATCACACTTGGCTAATAAAGAATTGTATTGTATTGTTTGATCTCTCTCTCCCACGGATATCAATATTGCGATCATCTCAATTATGAGGGGCTCCTGCATGCACTTACCTGTAGCGCCAATTTGTAATTCTTTTCCATAAGCTCGTCATTATTCTTGGTCCCATACACAATGGCATTGTGCACTTTCAAAACACAAGGGTCACCTGGGCTGAGCGGAGGCACCAACCCTTGCAACACCTTGCTTCGGAAAGCTTTTCGGTGCACCCCTTCCCCGAAATGTAATTCTTCCGTGGTAATCCTTCCGTGCAGACTTTTACTCAAGTAACTGTCACAGATGAAGTCTTCTTTGAACATCAGCTGTAAGAATTCTATCTCTTCCAAGCCTGTGAAATGAGTAAATGCATGTATGAATCCAAAGAAAGGAAAGGTAGTGTGTTTGTACGGATTGCAACATGAAGGCAAATGAAGGAGGACAAAAAAATTGTCATACATTCTTTCTGTTGTGGGTGTCTACATTTTTATCTTTTTATTTTAGCACTAAAACATACTTACAACAAACTAGAATGATCTGTATTGGCTTTGTTGCTATCACCAAACCTTCTGTTTCATCTCTGTCTGAATACAGAAAAAAGCCTCCAATGGGGAGCACCCACAACTTCTAGGGGCAAGTCGTTCTACTGATTAATTGTTCTAACTCTCAGGAAATTTCCCCTTATTTCTAGATTGGTTCTCTCCTTGAATAGTTACCATCCATTGCTTCTTGTCCTGTCTTCAGGTGCTTTGGAGAAGAGCTTGACTCTGTCTTCTTAGTGGCAACCCTTTAGCTGTTGGAACTCTGCTATCATATCAACCCTGGTCCTTCTTTTCATTTCTTCTCTCTCTCTCTCTCTCTCTCTCTCTCTCTCTCTCTCTCTCTCTCTCTCTCTCTCTCTCTCTCTCCCTCCCTCCCTCCCTCCCTCCCTCCCTCCCCCCCCTCTCTCTCTCTCTGTTTCTCTCCCTCCCTCCCTCTCACTCTCATTCCCCCCCTCACTCCCTCACTCCCCCTCTCTCTCTCATGTTCCTTTAATATTGCAATGTAGGTCAGAGCTACCCATCCTTGCCGTCCCTGGCACTAAGTATATAGAGACAGTACTCATGTAGTGACTGCTTTCTTTAGCAATCATTCACAGTTGCGATGTTGGTGAAAAGGTAACTTTAAGAGCTCTCCTTGTATTTACTTCAACTTCAGGGGTCAATAAAGTAAATGAAACATCCAGTAAGATCATAAGCACAGTTGCAGTTTTATTTAGAAATTAGTCTTAATAGTGAAGTGGCCAGTCCCAATTGTGGTCACTAAACAAGTACTACCTGTATAAATAAATCTGTCACTCTGTTAGATGACTGAGGATTCTAACCTTCCTTCATAGCTGTCTTTCTATACAGTTCTCCAAATCCTTTTCTTCCTTCTCAGTCTCCCTGCCCTCTAGAGTTCAGTATAAACTGGAGTAGGGGACCCTGTATTATTAAACTTTTATTAACAGTCTAAGGCCCAAACACTACAAAATATCAAGCAACCAATCCAGAAGATAAAATAAAAGGGAAAATACATCCCTTACCCTTCTCCAACTGCATGTTGGATTTCAACTCTCATGTCCCCAAGTACCATAATAAATGGTCCTATTGGAGGAAGTGCCAAGAATTGTAATCCACTCTATTAGAAGGCCATGTGGGTGGGATGCAGACAAGGAAAGATCATAAGAAGAACTTGGTTTCTATTTCTATTCCTACATGAAAATCACATCTTTCATGCATCCTAAGAAATCAACTAGTTATTAATTACATTGCTGTTCTGGTCAACAGTTATGGCTTTCTGAACAGTTTGTAGATAAATGAATTCACCAAATAAATGTGTGGAAACATTTATTATCTTAAGAAGAATACCAATTTCTAGTTTCTCAAATGCTATGATACCTCCTCTTATAGAGGTACTTAGAGAGATACTAATACCACTCTATAAAGCTTTAGTAAAACCACACCTAGAATACTGCATCCAGTTTTGGTCACCACACTATAAAAAAGATGTTGAAACTCTAGTGTTCCAATATTTGAGAGGCTGCCACAGCGAGGAAGGGGTCAAGCTATTTTCCAAAGCACCTGAAGGCCAGACAAGGAATAATGGATGGAAACTGACCAAGGAGAGATTCAACCTAGAAATGAGGATGAATTTTCTGACAGTGAGAACAATCAACCAATGGAACAGAAGTTGCCTTTGGAAGTGGTGGGAGCTTCATCACTTGAGACTTTCAAGAAAAGATTGGACTGCCATTTGTCAGAAATGGTGTAGGGTCTCCTGCTTGAGCAGGGGGTTGGTACTAGATGACCTATAAAGTCCCTTCCAACTCTGTTAATCTGATGTTATATATCCATGGACTATCAACCTGCATAGCTCTGTTTTGAGGGACCCAGAATCCCCTCTGAACATCCTTCTGAAATGTGATAGGGCACTGGCCAAAATTCCTCATATTTTGAGTCAAGGACAACTAGAAAGTTGTAGAATAAGTCTTCTCCAAAAGACATACCATTTCTACCCCCTATGACTCCTTGCTTCCAAGAATTTAAGAGGAACCACAATCAACGGTGATTATTACTTGCAACTATCTCGTTGTGCTAAAAGAGTTATCCTCTCTTTAACTTACACACTATTGCTACACCAAATTCCCTTTTAAGAGCACTCAACATGGATCACATCTCAAGACTGAATGTACACAAGGAAACATTTGCAGTTAGTAAATGAAAAGTCATGCACCTGTTTTAAAAGGAATGGAACAATTAATCCTGCTTCTTAAGGAGTCAGGACAAGTCACCATTTGGTTGATTGAATGAGCAAAAGTTGAGTAACACGTTATGTACGGCATTGACAAAACCTGTTGGCCAAAGCATTATCTATGTTTAGCACTGACACTGTAGTCCACATACTGATGTGATTAAAAAATCAGGAACATATGAGGAAAACTTTTCATAACATAATTCTTTGCTTTTTTTCTTTGGACAGACAGAAAGTCTGTAGAGATTCTCAGTCATCCAGGTCATGGTTGTCCCAAAGGTGCTTTTTCAGGAGGCAACTGGACATTCTTATTTTTTTTCTTTTGAAGAGGTTTCGCTTCTCATCCAAGAAGTTTCTTCAGTTCTGACAGGAAAGTGGGAAACCTCCCAGTGCTTCAACAACCCTCTAAATTAAGGATGCAAAATTGCAAATGACCAGCTGTCTGCAAGGAATATAAATCCTTCCATTCTCCACTATCCTGTCAGAGCTGAAGAAGCTTCTTGTTGTGGCCCGCCAGCAGCCTGCACGGATCGTGGCTGATCCCGACAACGAGGAGGCTGGTGTGGGGTTGCGCCAGCAGCCAGCGCAGCCGGCGCTCACGTCGGACAACAAGGAGGCTGAAGAGGATGTGGTGCCAGAGGCAGAGACTCAGCCTGGGCCTTCAGAACCTCCAGAGGCTCCTTCAAGTGGAGAGAGCAAAGTGGAGGAGCCTCTCTTCAATGCTCGAACACGCAGGGCTGCCACAAGGCAGAAGTGGCTACTCAGGAGGAGGAGGTCTCCTCGAGAGTAAGGTTTGACAATAATTGGTCACTCCCTTAGCCTATTTAAGTTGCACACAGTAATTTCTTGCTGGAAACAACGTGTAATTATTACAGAGCATATTGGAGAGAGAGTGTCTTATCATATTTTGTTTTCTGGGCTAGTTGCCAACCTTTGCCGGACTTCATTTATTCTTGGTATGAGTTCAATTCTCACCAGGCTCAAGGTCGACTCAGCCTTCCATCCTTTCTAAGGTGGTTAAAATGAGGACCCGGTTTGTGGGGGCAATAAGCTGACTTATATATACAAAAGTATGAAGGCTATTGCTTAATGCATTGTAAGCCGCCCTGAGTCTCCGGGAGTCATCCACTGAATCATCCACTGAGTCATCCACTTCTTGGATGAGAAGTGAAACGTCTTCAAAAGAAAAAACAAGAAAGTCCAGTTGCCTCCTGAAAAACCACCTTTGGGACCGACAGAAAGATTAAAATACAATCCATCAGTTTTCGAACTAGTGTAAGGTGACCAGACGTCCCGCTTTTGGCGGGACAGTCCCGCTTTTGAGCAATTTGTCCCGCGTCCCGCGGCGTTTCAAAAAAGTCCCGATTTTTCTTGAGCCCCAGCTGATGGCTAGAAGAAGAAAAAACTGTTTAAACTCTTGCCCGGGGCTTCAAAGGGCCGCCCTACAGGCAATCAGTGTAAAGCAGTTTTTTTTCCCCCTAGCTAAGCTTCAGAAATGAAACCAAAACCAGGGTCTTTGGTGCAGCGTGACAAAATGAGGCAGAGAGAGATTTATTTTTATTTTTATTTTTCCTCCCCAAAAAAGGTAGGTGAAAAACTGCAAACAATGGGAAATTTAGGAGGAGAGTTCAAGATTTTAAAACACAAAGGAAAAAAAGCTGTATTTAACTAGGGAATTGTAATAATTGAGATACTATTAATTGTATATTGTGTTGAAAGCAGAAATGGTTAAGTTGTGGTTCGGAGGAATATATGGGAGAAATTATTTGGTTTATTATTATTGGTAAATATAATTAATTGATTTGTAAGAAATTGGATTGCATGGAAATAATTGGAATATTCATGTTCATATTGATTAATATACAAAAAAGATAGTTTTATAACTAATTGATTTATATTAAAATGTTGAATTTGTATTAAACAACTGTATTAGATAATTACATAATTAAACAATGTGAGGATGGATATAAAAATAGATGACAATGGGAAGGGGTATAATATAGAATAGAAGGGAAAAATTGAATTTGATTAAGATTAGAGATGAGGATGAAGGGTAATATTGGTTTTTTTAAAAAATAGATGAGGAATAAATATGGCAAAAAGGAAATATAGAAATTGTAAATTTAATTGAAATGACTAAACGCTGTTTAAATTTGTGAACCAGCCAAATATTCTGTTCAAAGAAAATACATTGTATGTTTGTATGTGTGTTTCTAATTATTGCTATTTATTCATATTTGTTCTCTTTTATTCTTTAAAGTTTAACAATTCATTCTTTATCTTAATATCTTTATATTTGCTTGGGGTTGGCTTTCTTCCCTTTCATCTTTTTTATTGTACAGCAATCTTTCTCCTCAAACCTACCACCTCTCTCTTTTCTTTCCTTCTTACTTTCTCTTCCCCACCCTCTTTTTCTCCTCCCTACTTCCTCTTTATTTCTCCTTCTCCTCCTCTCTTCCTCCCTCTCTTACCCTCACTCCTACTCTAATTTCCATTCCTTCATCCCTCTCTATTGCTGTAATCCTTTTGTGCATATGGACTACTCAGAGGGCTGAAAAAGTTATTTTTAATGAACTACTTAGATATTGATTATCACTTGTTATGTACCATTTTTTACAGTGAAGTTGAAATTGATGACTGGTTCATGGACTGGTCATAGTAGGCTGAAGTTGAGGCCTCATTTCTTGTATATTTTATTCACCCTTCATTGAGCAGTTCCATACAACTTACACTTTCATTCCTTATCATGTTAGTGTTACATTCATATTCCTTCTACTAATTCATTGTCCCTTACCTTAACTTAACTACTCTTTATGATTATCTTGCTTTACTTTATCTTATGTCTTTCTTACTGCTTGTTCATCCTTTCTACTATGCTAATTACTTCCTCAAAACTTTTCTCTCCTCATCAACCTTACAACACTCATTCCTCCTTCATCTCTTCTTTCCTTCTTATCTTCTCTTTCCACTTCTTCCTCTTTTTCTTCCTCCTTACTTCCTCTTTCTTTCTCCTTCTCCTCCTCTCTTCCTCCTCTCTTACCCTCACTCCTACTCTAATTTCCATTCCTCATCCTCTCTATTGCTGTAATCCTTTAATGCATATGGACTACTCAGAGGCTGAAAAAGTTATTTTTGACTGGTCCTCACACTTTTGACCAGTCCTCGAACTTATGACTGTCCTCACATTTTAAATTTTTGCCCTATCTTGTCATCATGGTGAAGAGAAGCAGTTGTGAAATGAGTGACATGGTTGTTAAGAATGCTGCATGGGCATAAATGTGAGGATGGTCATAAGTGTGAGGACCAGTCAAAAGTGCGAGGACCTGTCAGAAATGACTTTTTTCAGCTCTCTGGTGAGTCCTTTTGTGCATATGGACTACTCAGAGGGCTGAAAAAGTTATTTTTGACTGGTCCTCACACTTTTGACCAGTCCTCGAACTTACGACTGTCCTCACATTTTACATTTTTGCCTATCTTGTCACCATGTTGAAGAGAAGCAGTTGTGAAATGAGTGACATGGTTGTTAAGAATGCTGCACGGGCATAAATGTGAGGATGGTCATAAGTGTGAGGACCAGTCAAAAGTGTGAGGACCTGTCAGAAATGACTTTTCAGCCCTCTGAGTAGTCCCTATACACATAGCCATGGCCACCCGGTCACATGACCAGGTAGCCACGCCCACCCAGTCACATGGCCTCCAAGCCACGCCCACACAATAAGCCACGCCCACAATGGTGTCCTTCTTACCAATGTTAAAATCTGTTCACCTTACCCTATAGACATAGCCATGGCCACCCGGTCACATGACCAGCTAGCCACGCCCACCCAGTCACATGACCAGCTAGCCACGCCCACAAAATAAGCCACGCCCACAATGTCCCTCTTTACCAATGTTAAAATCTGGTCACCTTAAACTAGTGGCACATTTTAACCATATTTTGTGGAAACCCCCCCCCCCCCCCGACTCCCAAAAGAAGGAGCGAAAGAGCTATCTTTGCCCCCCCTGCTACTGTAGGAAGACATGGCTGTTTGCTCACCAGATCTGTAACCATAGGGATCAAGCCAAAATGTATAAACGTAAAGTAACTAGATTCCTATGGGGATGGTCACATTGCTGGAAAACCCACAATTTAGTTTGGAAGAGAGTCACTACACTCAAATCAATAAGTATAAAATTTTCTCTTTTATTTCAGGAGCAGTTGAACAGAGAAGCTAAATTGTAACACACTTAGATCTTTTCTCAGCTTCCTCCTGATCATGGAATTATTTTTCAAAGAAAAATAACCTTTGGGAGATGTTTCTTCTTCCCTCTGGAGCTCCATAGGTGAGACTTCAACAAATTCTTCAAAACCAGCAACTTCCAGAGACTAGAGAGATGGAGTCTCCCCACAGCAGTTTAAAATGGTCAATAGAATAATATAATATTAAATTTGGAAGGGACCATTGGGGCTGTCTAGGCCGGGGCTGTCAAACTCCTGGCTGGATGCGTCACGCGCTGGCCACACCCATGCCCATTTTAGTGAAGGGGGGGGAAAGTCCCGATAGTCACATGACGATGCCGTGATGGCGTGAGTTTGACACCCTTGGTCTAGGCCAATTTCCAATGTGGATATAGGAAAATGGGCACATCTACTTCTGTCCTCACCAGCAACCACATCAAGACCACTACTTTAAAAATAGAATACAAATAATCTTTCTTTATCTTTATTTGATTTGTATACCGCCCTACTCAGGGCAGTGAACAGCCAAACAGTAAAATACATAAATACAAAATTTAAAAAGAGGATAAAATCGAATTAAACAATTTGGCCCAGACAAATTAAAACACCCCAATCATTTAAAAACACAGATTAAAATTTGCATATTAAAAAGAAAAGAGGGAAAAGATTAGGCCAGGCCCGCCTGGTAGAATAAAAAGGTCTTCAAAGCACGGCAGAAGGTGCGCAGATCCAGGATCCTCCGTATCTCCGGGGGGGGAGCTCATTCCAGATAGTAGGTGCTCCCACAGAGAAGGCTCTCCCCCTAGGGGCCGCCAGTCGACATTGTTTGGCTGACGGCACCCTGAGGAGCCCCTCTCTATGAAAGCGTACCGGCCAGTGGGAGGCTATTGGTGGTAGTAGGCGGTCCAGTAGGTAACCAGGTCCTAAGCCATGGAGCACTCTAAAGGTGGTAACCAAAACCTTGAAGCGCACCCGGAAGACCATAATATTTTTTAGGCCGCTCTCCTGAGGCTAGGGAGAAGATGAAGCAGGTGTGTCTTTAGGGTTTGGTAAAAAAAAAAAAAAAATCAAGATGGTGACTGCAATGGGGCAATCAGAACTGTTTTTTATGTGGGTAACCCACATGATACACGTTGAAAACAGATGGAGCTTTGTACCATCATGGTTACCATGCTGACTTTTGACTCTGCCCTGAGGATACTTTTGAGAAGACAATGACATGGAGATGGGATTTTAAAAAATGGTTCCTGAGATATATTCATGTTCTATTTTCGAGAACATGAACCTGAGCCTATAATGTTGCATTAGGACTGATGTTTGAAAAGGACAGATGTTCAAGTAGTAAGAAAGCTATTACCAAAGTTCAGGTCCTTTTATTCAATGAAGTGTCTAAAAGGCTCTTCATTCATGTTCATGGTAAAAAGGATTTCTGACCTTGTAAGCTAAACTAACAGCTGATTTCAAGTGAGTGAGGCATCACCCTTTAATCTTAATTATGAAAAATCTTAGGCGTTTTTTTTCTTTTTAAGAATGAAGTCAAACCGTAAGATTAGAGATCTCATCTTTAGAATCAGTTGGCTCAGTGTTAACAGGTAGATCCTTAGCAAATGCTCACATAGAGCATTAACTTATTCCATATCATTTTTCTTGTTCCAGAATGGAAACAATTATCTCATATATTTTGGAGTGAAACCTTGATGCATCCTAGGTTCAATTTGTCAAGAATTACACAAAATAAACAGCTTGAATATAATTTTGCATAACTCTGCAAGAGATTGTATAGGGGGAAAAAACCCACAGTTTTACCTTCAACATCCTGAAGTCTTGACAGATGTTCCAAAACTGTAGAAAGATGAAAAGAAATATATTCTGAATGTAGGCTACACATTGCTAATTACAGTTGTGTTTTATGTTTAAGGAAGAATTCGTCATATGTTACCTTCAGAGGTCAGGTTAAATTCTGAAATGGCTTTTCCATATGTATTCTTCAGGCAGCAATGATACAGGCCTTGGTCTTTTTTCCCAGCTTGAACTATTGCCAGAGACACCGGAAGGTCATCTCTTGCACTAGAAAATACATCAACATTGGAAAATTCATATTTTTTTAAAAAAAAAAAACCACAACTTTCTTAATTTTTCAGAGGTGCATGTCTTTTAGATCAGTGGTCCCAACCTTTGTGGCTGGGCAACCAGGCAGGGAGGAGAGAGGGGAGCTGGTGTGTGTTTGCTTGCACAGTGCTTTATTTATTTATTTATTTTATTATTCATATTTCTATGCCGCCCACTCTCCAAGGACTCTGGGCGGCTTACATCAAAGACAGTATACTAAATAGCATATTGCCCCCTAACAATCTGGGTCCTCATTTTACCCACCTTGGAAGGATGGAAGGCTGAGTAAACCTTGAGCCAGTGAGATTTGATCCGCTGATCTGCTGAACTAGCAGTCAGCTGAAGTAGCTGCAGTACTGCACTCTAACCACTGCGCCACCTCGGCTCTTGTGCGAGCGGTGGGCTTGTGCGAGTGGTGGGCTGGGGCACACACACACACAGCGCTTGCATGTCAGTGAGTTTTCTAAAAACCATTCTATTAGCTACATTTTTCTATTTTCCTACAGTTCAGGTATTCTATGAAGAACAGTTTCAGGAGATGGGTGTGTCTAGTCTAAAGAAGAGAAGGACTAGGGGTGACATGATAGCAGTCTTCCAATATCTCAGGGGCTGCCACAGAGAAGAGGGAGTCAGGCTATTCTCCAAAGCACCTGAAGGCAGGACAAGAAGCAATGGATGGAAACCAATTTATTTATTTATTTATTATATTTCTATACCGCCTTTCTCCCATAGGACTCAAGGCTGTGTACAGTCAAGAAAAATATAGACACAAAAACATCATAAAATTGCTAATTAAAATTATTACTTAGTTTGGTCAACTAAATAAAACCCAGAATTAGATAGCATTTAAAAAATCATTCACATGTTCGTATGTTTAGCCCCGCCTTTTGGAACATCAGGGTCTTGAGGGCACGGCGGAAAGCACGGAGATCAGGGATATTCCGTATCTCCGGGGGCATTTCATTCCAAAGGGTTGGAGCCCCCACAGAGAAGGCCCTCCCCCTGGGAGTCGCCAGTCGACATAATTTGACTGACGGTACCCTGAGTAGTCCCCTCCCTGTGAGAATGAACTGGTCGGTGGGAGGCTATTGGTGGCAAAAGACGGTCTCTTAGTCCTAAGCCATGGAGTGCTTTAAAGGTGATAACTAACACCTTGAATTGCACCCGGAAGACCACCGGGAGCCAGTGCAGCTCGCGTAGGAGAGGTGTTACATGGGCGTAACGAGCTGCGCTCATAATCACCCGCGCGGCTACGTTCTGGACCAGTTGGAGCCTCCAGGTGCTTTTCAAGGGGAGCCCCATGTAGAGAGCATTACAGTAGTCCATACGGGAGGTAACTAGGGCATGAGTGACCGTGCGCAAGGCGTCCCGATCCAGAAAGGGAAGCAACTGGCGGATCAGGCAAACCTGATAAAAGGCACCCCTGGCCACGGCCGTCAAATGATCTTCTAAAGATAGCCGTGAATCCAGGAGGACACCCAAGTTGCGGGCCCTCTCTGTGGGGAGCAAGATCTCATCCCCTATTGTCAGTGATGGTACCATCTGACTATACTGGGATGCCGGAAGCCACAGCCACTCGGTCTTGGAGGGGTTGAGTCTGAGCTTGTTTCTCCCCATCCAGATCCGCACGGCCTCCAGGCAACGGGACATCACAGCAAGGGCATCATTGGGGTGGTCTGAGGTGGAGATGTATAGCTGTGTGTCATCAGCATACTGATGAACACTAACCCCAAAACCACGGATGATCTCGCCTAGCGGTTTTACATAAATGTTGAACAGAAGGGGTGAGAGGACTGACCCTTGCGGCACCCCACAAATAAGGTGCCTCGAGGTCGACCTCTGCCCCCCTGCCAACACAAACTGCGAACGGTCAGAGAGGAAGGAGGAGAACCACCGAAGCACGGTGCCCCCTATTCCTAACCCCTCCCGCCGGTGCAGTAAGATACCATGGTCGATGGTATCAAAAGCCGCTGAGAGATCTAATAGGACCAGGATAGAGGAGCAACCTCTGTCCCGAGCCCTCCAGAGATCATCCACCAATGCGACCAATGCCATTTCCGTGCTGTATCGTGACCTGAAGCCCGACTGGAACGGATCCAGATAGACAACTTCATCCAGGTATCGGGGTAGTTGTCACGCCACCACACTCTCAACAACCTTCGCAACAAAGCGAAGATTGGAGACTGGACGATAATTTGATAATATAGCCGGGTCCAGGGAAGGCTTCTTGAGGAGGGGCTTCACAACCGCCTCTTTCAAGGCGACGCGAAAGACACCCTCACTCAGAGAAGCATTTATAATCCCCTGGAGCCAGCCTCGTGTAACCTCCCGGGAGGCCAGTACCAACCAGGAGGGACACGGGTCCAATAAACATGTGACAACGTTAAGCTTGCCCAGAATCCTGTCCACGTCCTCAGGAGCCACAGAGTCAAACTCTTCCCAGATAACACTCTCAAGACCTGCCCCCGTCTCCTCCCCTGGATCTACCCAATCGGAGTCCAGGCCTTCCCGAATCTGAGCGACTTTATCATGCAGGAATTGTACAAAATCCTCAGCTCGACCCTTTAAGGGATCTTCCCGTACCCCCACCTGAAGTAGGGAGCGGGTCACCCTAAACAGCGCAGCTGGGCGGTTCTCTGCAGATGCAATAAGAGCGGAGAAGTAGCTCCATTACTGGAAGTTTTAAAGAAGAGCCTGGACAGCCATTTCTCCAGAATGGTATAGGGTCTCCTGTTTGAGCAGGAGGTTAGACTAGAAGACCTCCAAGGTCCCTTACAACTCTATTATTCTATTCTGTTCTATAAACCATAACATGATTATTAACTTGTTTTGAATTAAATATTATCTTCCTATGGAAAACCAATTTGAGTCCTAAAAATATCGTATGAATGAACAGATGTTCATTGGTAATATGGTTGGCATTAGAATTCGTAAACACGAAATCAGGTATACTTAGATTAATAAGTATTGAAAATATAAGGCAGCGTGCCTAATATCTTCTTGTCCTAACATTCTGCAATTTATAATCTGCAACCACAAACGTCCCTATCTGCTAGTGGTTTAACAAGAGAAAAGCAACTATCTTTACAACCTCAACATACATAAGAATTATAAATAAACTATATACCAGTGGTGGGTTGCCCCCGGTTCAGACCGGTTCTATAGAACCGGTAGTAAAACTGGCAGGAAGCTCCACCCACCAACCCTGATGTTATCAGAACGCTTCTGCACATGTGCAGAAGACCGCACGCACATACGTGGCCCCATTGCAAACCGATAGTAAAGATAAGTAGAATCCACCTATATATCTATATACCCCTCCCGCATCCTTCCTTTCTCAAAGGCTTTACAAAGCATGTTAATATGTCTTACCTTCTGTGAACTCGAGCAAGAAGCTTAGAATCTTTTGTCCAGGTAATGGTGGAATCTGAATGAATTTCTCCAAACTGACAACATAATTTGACATTTCCAGAGAAATCAGGAAACAATTCTGCGTGGATTTTCCTCAGCAGTTTGGGTGCTGAATTTTTTTTTTAAAAAAAATGATGAGTTATTGGGGATGAACATATGTACAGTAGCATTTGAGGGTTAATTTGCATATTATATATAGATCAGTCCTTGAGTCATTTCAATTGACTATTGCTTTGGGTATATATATTTATTCCTTAACAATATACTGAATCTAGAGACAACATCAATGTTTTAGAGTGTTCTTTTTAATTCAGAAGAAATAAAATCTGGCATGTCACCTTTGAGCAATCTTGTCTACTCTCTTGAGGTCCAAATTATAACTCGTGAAGTATGACAGGAATTGTGTCCAATACAGCTAGAGGATACCACGTTGTGAAGAAGATTGACCTAGACCAATATTTCTCAAATTGTGAACTTTAAGGGGGTTGGACTTGAATTGCCAGAATTCTGGGAGGTTGGCTGCCATAGTTGGCTGGGGAATTCTGGGAGTTGAAGTCCACACATTTTAAAGTTCATAAGGTTGGGAAACACTTACCTAGGTTATAGATAAAACTGCTAAAATTGTTCCCTTTAAGACTGTTAAGGTTCACAGACAGAAGATTAAATTCAAAATGCAGTGAAGCTGTGGCCCTTACAGACTAAGGAACCTAACACTTTCATTAAATCAATTTAGATCTCATTTAACTCTGAACCCCATACTTATATTTTTTAATCAAAAAAGAGCCTGTTTATACAACTAGGTGGAGACTCTAGTTACTGCATAACTGATCTGTGGAGAACTGTTTTGCTGAGATAATGAAAGCATACTTGGGATAGTTGATCAACCAATCGGAATTCATACATCAAAGGTGACCCACAGATTTTTTTAAGGATAGATCCTAGAGCACCTCCACAAATACCCACTGAGTTGTAATTTTAAACATGACAAATGGAAGGAGGCATTAAATACAAAGGAACAAAAGTGTATAAATGTGTTCCGAATTCCAAATTTCTAATTTAAAATGCCCATTATGAGTTTAAATTAGTCCTCCACATGCTCAACAGCTATTTTAATTATTTGGGGAGTATTCCGATCTCGAAGCAAAACATTCCAAACTAGTAAAAAAAAGCTGTTTTAAATTCAAATCACTTCCACAACTAGGCTATTTTGCCCTTGAAACAACTTTTTTTCAAATTTCAGACAAGGTATGCTGAATTTAAAATGCTTTGCATTCCACTAATGAGGACAAGCCATATTAACTGAGGTAATAAATTCGAGTTAATTAGTTTAAAAAAACCAGCTCATTTTGGAATGCAGCTTATGATCCACTGCTAAAAGGCCCTTGGTGCCCCAAAAATTGCATCTCAGTGTCTCACTGATTAAATAATTTGGGATTTGGAACAGTTCATACCTTAGAGAGTAGAGTATAGAATACCAAGGAGACAAACTCAGAATCTGTATTTGGCATCTTTACTTACAAATATCTTCAGGAAGCAACAACCTCTGCTAGATGTCTAAAGCAATTGTCACAGGGAACCACTGTTGATAAAAAGATTACTGACAAAAAACAAACAAACAACCCAGCTCACTTTCTACACATACCTCTGTTATCCTTTTGTCGTAGTATTTTCTGTTCTTCTCTCTTCTCTTCCCTTGAAGTTAAATCAGCCTCTTTTCTCCAGCTGGCATCATTACAGATACTTTCTTTTGTTTCAAGACATGGTTTCTTGGCCACCTTAGGTATCATGTTGTTTGTTATTTCATGCCCGTTCTTCATGGCATCAGCACTTTTGTGAGGTGACAATGGCTTGGAGATTTCAGAAGCTCCTAGTGATATTGTCCTCTCATTTTCTAATGCAGAAATATCTCCCTCATTTGTGCCTAATGTGCATGGCTGAGTTTGAGCCAGTGGTAATGCTTTTTCAGAATGACGGTTGTCCTCAGAAGCGCAAGGCAAGGGCCTCTCTGAAATCCCCATTCCACGCCCAGATGAATTTTGTCTCTCACCATCTGTGAAGGCTCTGCTTTGATTGGGGTCAGTGGTTGTAACTGTACATCCACTCTTTAATCTTCCTACCAGAACAGCATCTTGCTCATTGCAAAATTCCATGAATGGAGGCATACTGTCTGGGTATTCGTGCCAAGAGTACATTGGTTCTGAATCAAGGAGCGCCCTCATGTAAGGCTCCACTTCAACTTCCTCCAGGTCATCTTCAACCAGCTTTTCGGTTTCCTTGGTGTCCATTTCACCTGGCATAATTTTGCTCGGACTTTGTCTTTCCATCTTTTGATACTCACCATGACTCACCATAACAGGATGCCCCTGTTCTGAATCAAGTAGGGCTCTCATATAGGGCTCTATTTCAGCTTCCTCAGAATCGGATGCCACAAGCATGTCATTTTCTTTCTCGGATTGCATTATTCCTTCATTTTGGTTTTCTTCTGTCCCTTTGTACTTATCTTGCTGTGATGTCATTGCCTTTGCATCCATGCTTCTGTCCATTTGGGACTGGATGGACTCCGTTTGCCCAACATGTTCAGATAGCACCAGTATATCTGTATTGCAACTTTCTGATGCTCTTTTTAGGTCCTGACCAGGCACTGTAAAATTGCCTGTCCTGCCATTCTGAGTCTTTTGACCTATGCTATAATTCTCATTGCTGGTAATAGTTGAAGACTGCACAGTGTTTGAACCCGCTGATGTATTCATTTCAAATGGAGAGCACGTTGGATCCAAGCCTAAATTTTTCATGCTCTCATCCAAATGTTTTGCAGGAGCAGAATTGTTCTCCGATACTAATTGTTGGGAATTGTGTGGTGGCAACTTTGAAACTCCAGGTAGGGACTCCAGGGGAGTTGGTTTCAGACTTGCAACACAGTCTGTGCTCTTTTGGCTGGCATTGGTTTTAACATTTTTGTTAATTTCTAACAGCACCTCAGTGAAAAATCTAACTTTGTATGATGCTGTGAATATGGGTCTCAATGCATCTCTTTCTATACTGTTTTCTTGGCTTGTTGTCTCTAATGCTTGCCGATCGTTTTTAGGTTCAGTAGCCATTAGTGAATTAGACTCCGGAATGTGGTAGATGTGATTCTGTGCATCAGATACAGCCTTTAAATCTCTATTGTTACTTTTATTGTGATAAATACCACAACTCCTGTTTCTTTTTGCATTCAGTTCTGACTTACTTTCTTGTCCCTGATTTTCTTGTTTGGCACTTCTATTGATTGCCATAACAGAAGTTTGTTTTCTACTTATTAATGGAGCCATAATTTTCCCGCAGAAATTTCTAGATGAATCCTCTTTCAATGGACAATCGTTTATTCTTGACCGATTTACAGGACTTTGATGTTCTTTCAAAGGTATCTCGTTAGCTTGCTTTGTTATGTGGCCACTTTCCCAAATAACATTCTGTTCAGTATAAGAGAACTGGCAGAGATTATTAGGAAGCTGTTTTAATAAAAATTCTTGGCTTGGTTCTAAAGGGTCGTCTGGAACGTCTACAAATCTATATGTAGGTTCTTGTTCACAAAACGGGAAAGCCTTTTCAGCCAAAACTGTGTCTTCGTGATAAACAGACTTCTGGATGGATCCATGATGATCATGCTGGCCTTCACACTGCTTATTTGGATATTTTCTCTTTTGGAGATTGTTCCTTATAAAGTAAACAGATGGCTTTTCTCTTTTATGTTGAAAAACAGAGCACAGATCTATGGAATCTGGTTCCACCGGTAGCGTCATGGAATTGACCTTGGATGTATGGCTATATGTTTCATCTGTTTTTACCAAACTAAAATCAGTAAGGTTTTGCATCTCTGTTGTCAATTCTGAGACATGCTGATTATCTTCTGTTAAATTTTCTGGCACACGCTGCCCACCACTTACATCTGCAGTAATGTTCAATCCCCTGACCTCCTTGGCACTAGCAGTCTCAGCTGCTACCCTCTTAACCTCCCTGCTGGTGCAACTGAAGTCATCATCCCAGTCATCATTCTCATAAAGTAGTCTCTGGGAAAGTTCACACATTGTTGATAAGCCAGCATCTCTGTCCTTAAGTTGTGTAGATTTCTGAATGCTCTGGAAATTTTCTTCGGATGGATTTTGAGTCCTAGGAATGTCACCGAGTATTTTTATTCTGTTGAGCTCATGGGCTTTTCCTGCACGTGTCTCTTCCATTTGTACACCAAACATGGACCCTGGAATATCACATAAGGCATCGGGACCATCAGAGCTTGCCCTGTTATCCACCATTGGGAAATGAGGAGTTTGATTCCATCCTGGCTTCTGCTCTTTAGCCTCATGAGTTCCCCTTCCATCGAGAGCTACAGAGTTTTCCAAAGTGATGTCATCTGTCTGAAATCCAGTTTTCCCATGGATCTTTGGCAAAGCAGAATTTTCAGCAGCCCCATGAGAAGGTGCGGGAACAATCCTCTCGTCCACTGTAGGATCTGTTGTAAATAGTTCCTGATCATTGCTGATTGACGCTGATGTTTCAGCATTGATTTCTCGTTGCTCTGTCTAGAAAAAAAACACAGAGTAAAAACAAAGAATGAAGGAGGCACATAAAACATTCAGTATTAGGCTAATTGACAAGAAAGCTGATAACAGGAAAAAAATTATAATACTGAATCATAAAGGTACATTGCTCTACTTACCTTCAGGGATGACCCACCAGTTTGTTGTATAAGAATATTCTTATAATAATTGTTAGGTAAGGCATTAAGGCTTGGTGCAAAAACCTTTCAAAATTTAACAGCGTTTATCTTATACTCTGTTGTATTGAAACTCTGCAACTTTTTAGCACATTCAAATAAAAGTTAAGCACTTTAGCAATCTTTTCCAAGTAGAATAAATTTAATCCCGTGAAGCAGCTTTTCTTTACAATCAATAGGACTATGAGCATGTTTAACTCTGACTAACCCATTCCCAGATTTCTATTATTTTAGTCCAAGCCATGCTGAATGTAAGAAATATTTTGATTATACAGTAATATTGAAGCAAAAAAGGGTGAATCTTTTTTGAATAATTATTGCCTCTGCATGCACATAAGAACCTGTGGAGCAGTAAATAGATTCATTCGATCTAGTCTAGCCAGCCTTGGCTGATCTTGAAAAAATAAGTAGAGTTGGAATCAATGAAGAATTCATCAAAAAGTATTAGGGCTGTAGATTAAAATTAGAAAGTTGAGGAACCATCTCAAGAGAAGAGAATCGCAAACGATGCTATTGTAGCTAAGTAAACTATATGAACGTGTCTAGGAAGTCAACGGGCCACTTGAGTTCCACTCAAAGAAGTCTTCTTGTCCAGAAGTTGAGCACAAACAACAGGATACTTTATTTAATTATCATTTCATTTTCAAGGCCAACCTATTCCAGAGCAACTCTGGGCAGCCTTCAGATAATAAAATATATAAAGTAAACCAAAGGAACTCAACCATCACTCTAGCTTAGGGTATGGGAGGATAACTAGGTCTCAGTTTGGGAAAAGTCAAAAGGGTGGGAGCAGTATGAATTTCTAGGGGTATATTATTCTACGGGGCAGGAGGTCTCATTGAAATGGCACATTTCCTAGATCCCACAAGATGACACTGCTCCATTGATAGGACCTGATACGTGCCCACTCTAGCTGATCTCACCCAATAGGCCTAAAGGCAGGGAGACAGGTGGTCCCTCACAAATCCAGCCCCTATGCCATGAAGGTCTTTAGTTGCCAACATTTTGAAAGCCAGTTGGCAACCAGTGCAACTCATGAAACAGTGAGGACACATGCATACCGTGATGCACCCATCAATGCCTATGGTACTTCATTTTAGGCCAGTTGTAGCTTTGTAGTAGTCTCTATAGCAACTCAACATAGAGCACATTTTAGTAATCCATTTGAGAGGAACCACATCATAGGTGAATGTCTGATGATTTTCCCAGTACAACCAATGTTTAGCTTCCAGGAATAAATTGCTTAGCCTAGTTAATCAAAACAGTCCTTATATTCTTTTTGTGCATATAGATTTATTGATACCCAGCTTAACCCTGGTCGCTATCATTCTGCCCACCAAGAAAGCCTTAAACCTTTCCAGAAAATTTTCAGGGAAAGGAGAGTTCAATGCTATGCGTATCTTGTTATATTTTCTATATTTTATTTTGTTTCACATAGGCTAAATTCTAAATCCTATCAGTACAAACTGATTAGACTTTGATTAAAATAAAGAGGATTCTTAATTTCCCATTTACTTCTGAAAACATTTCTCTATTTGTTTATTTATTTATTGGTTCGATTTATATGCCGCCCTTCTCCGGAGACTCAGGGCGACTTACAATGCGTTAAGCAATAGCCTTCATACTTTTGTATATACCTGCTTAGTAGGGCTTTCGCCCCCCCCCCCAAGCGGTGTTCTTTTTTATACAAAGTCAGTTTATTGCCCCCACAATCCAGGTCCTCATTTTACCTACCTCGAAAGGATGGAAGGCTGAGTCAACCTTGAGCCTGGTGAGATTTGAACTTGCAGTAATTGCAGGCAACTGGTGCTACTTAACAGCGCTTTAGTCTGCTGCGCCACCAAGGCTCTTTTTAAAATGATGATGCCCTCATTTAAAAATTATTTAATTTGGTGCAGTTTGTTAAGTACATAGTCTAATATAATTTATCTTCCTTTATCTTCTCTCTCTCTCTCCCCCTCCCTCCCTCCCTCCCTCCCTCCCACACACAAACACATAATCACCATTTCAATTTTCCTTAATGCAAACATTTTCATCTGAAAGTCTATGGAGATTTTCAATCATCCAGGTCATGGATGACTCTTGAAAAAGCACCTTTGGGATTTTTACGTTAAAGCTACGTACTGTATATATAATGATCTTCTCTCAAGACAACATATTTTGAGAACATATTCTCTTCGTTTTATAATCCACAAAATGGTCCGCCATAATAAAAATGTTCAGTCTTTAAGATGCCACGTGATTCTTGTTTTTTGCAACAACACAAGTTAATTAGCTCTCTACAGTCAAAGTTCAATGTTACCTTTCTGCAAAAGTCAGCTTCATTTCTGGTTGCTTGATGCAACCTTTATTTAAATTTTGCTTAACCTTTTAGTAAATACTTTGGAATCTTGCTAACATCATCTGATCGGTCTCCCTACTCTGCAGGTGGTGGCAGAGTGAGAAACGAAAATGGGCAGCTGACCCCCGTTCAAACTCAATTCCCCACTGAGCACCGAGCATGCTTGATATGATTTGCAAGCATATGGTACAGGGGCACATTTATATTGCAAACTTTCGCTCTGGGTCAATCTTTCCTTAATCCAGCAATTTCCTTTATTTTCCTTTATGTCGGTTATACATTATTTCAAGCTCGCTCAACCACTACATAAAGCATCTATTTGCAAAGTCGCCTCTGCAGACATTATGGCAAAAGTTGGCAAGGTTAAAATTGGGTTTAACTTACTGTAAAATTAAATGCCTTCAAAATTAAACTGCACTGATCATATTGAGTTAACCAAGATTAATTCAAATATATGTAATCATTTTCCACTTAATAAAAAATTACTTAATAAAAAATGCTCTTTGACATCTGCCTGAACCAAAACTAACATTTTTCCAAACATGACTCTTAAAAGTCCCTTATATCAAGAAAAGAGATAGGGCTGCAAAAATTCCAGCAACTTAATTATTTCTCATCTGAAAAATCAATATATGCCTACACAGGTAATCCTCCACTTACGACCACAATCGAGCCCAAAATTTATGTTGCTAAATTCTGTTGCTAACTAAACCCAACAAGACAGACACAGACTTCAGAGGATAATTAGAACTGCAGAAAAAACAATTACTACCAGCCTGCCTTCCATTGAGGACCTGTATACTGCACGAGTCAAAAAGAAGGCAGTGAAAATATTTACAGACCCCTTGCACCCTGGACATAAACTGTGTCAACTCCTACCCTTAAAACGATGCTATAGAGCACTGAACATCAGAACAACTAGACACAAGAACAGTTTTTTTCCGAACGCCATCACTCTGCAAATAATTCCTTCAACACTGTCAAACTAGTTACTAAGTCTGTTTACTATTAATCTTCCCATCATTCCTATCACCCATCTCCTCCCACTTATGACTGTATGACTGTAATCTTGTTGCTGGTATCCTTAAGATTTATATTGACTTTTTCCTTATGACTATCATTAAGTACTTGTACTTAATTGTATTAATACTTAAAAATATTGTACTTATGATTCTTGACGAATGTATCTTTTCTTTTATGTACACCGAGAGCATATGCACCAAGACAAATTCCTTGTGTGTCCAATCACACTTGGCCAATAAAGAATTCTAATTCTATTCTATTCTATTCTATTCTATTCTATTCTATTCTATTCTATTCTATTCTATTCTAAATAAAAAGTTGTTAAGTTAATTTTACCTCATTTTACAATCTTTCTTGCCAGAGCTGGTAAGTGAATCACTGCAGTTGTTATATTAGTAATATGATTGTTAAGCCCGGTGGCGCAGTGGTGAGAGTGCAGTATTGCAGGCTATTTCTGCTGACTGCCAGCTGCCTGCAATTTGGCAGTTTGAATCTCACCAGGCTCAAGGTTGACTCAGCCTTCCATCCTTCCAAGATGGGTAAAATAAGGATCCAGATTGTTGAGGGCAATAGGCTGACTCTGTAAACTGCTTAGAGAGGGCTGTAAAGCACTGTGAAGCGGTATATAAGTCTAAGTGCTATTGCTATTGCTATTGCTATTGTTAAGTGAATTTGGCTTCCCTATTGACTGGTGAGAAGGTCACAAAAGGAGATCACATGACCCCAGGACACTGCAACCATCATATAAATATTAGCCAAGCATCTGAATTTTGATCATGTGACCATGGAAATGCTGTAATGATTGTCAGTGTGAAAAACAGTCATAAGTCACTTTTTTCAGTGTGGTTGTAACATTAGTCACTAAATGAACTGTTGCAAGTCAAGGACTACCTGCATATTGGAGCATAGATATTCTCTTTTTCCCACAGCTGTTTTCCTTGAACCAATGAAGTGACCAGTATCTCCACTGATATTGTCATACAGGAGAGATTGGAATGGATTGTTTATGTATCTCCCAAATCTTTATCACCCTGAGAATTGAGTATTTCAGTAAATCGCCTAAATAAATTAATAAATTAATCAAATTTCAGAAAAGATTTTGAGGCTTCATCCAAGTCTTTCTTTCCATTGCCAGCCATATAATGCCCTGTAATCATTAATGGTACTATATCCCCTATAATCAATAGAGGGTTTGAAAACCCGGCGCTACCATTTCGCTATCGGTAGCACGCAGTGCTTCTACGCATGCGCAGATCGTTTTTGATGACGTCTGGGTGGGTGGGCAGAGCCTCCCGCTGCTACCACTACAGGTTCGCCCGAACGGGGGCGAACCGGGAGCAACCCACCACTGCCTATTATCTATACCACTTTATAATGCCTTGGTAAGGCCACACTTGGAATACTGCATTCAGTTTTGGTCGCCACGATGTAAAAAGGATGTG